AATGATTATCTAAATGACCTGTTTGTCCTCTGTTAAGTAATTTATTTAAAAAAATGTACACTTGAGAAGGCCCTGAAAAGGAAGATGCACAGAGACGAGGGCAAGGAGACGGACAGGCAGGCAGGACCAGAGCAGTCTAAGGGAGAACTGCTGAGGCTGTTTTGTCCCAAGAAGTTAGCTTTGCTTTTTCCCCCCACAACGGATGTAGTTGAGTCAATAAAAGGTACCACCAAACATATCTTGTGCAACACCCCAGCCCTACTATTTCCTGCATAGACCCGTTAGGCTTCAGGGCAGAAGAAATCTGCTAGTTGTGTTTTTAAGAGCGCTGTCTGCTTTGCTGCTTGGGACTGGTTGGGCTCTGAAACCTCAAAAAAGGTACAGTCCTCCTCCAGGAGCTGAATCAGCTTCTGGGGTACCACAGATGGAGGAGTGAGGTGAGCAGGTGGGCGCAAGGATCAAAAGGCTGGGGATCAAGAGTCCAAGGAGTCAGAGGCTCACCTGCTCTAGAAGCTCTGTCTGGGCTTCTGAGAATATTTAAAGAGAATATATAAAGCCAGGGGTCTTAAGCAAGTGGTCCCTTGGGGATTGTGACAGCTAGGATGACATGTGTAAATGTGTTAGACAAAGAGGAAGGAGTAATTGATGTGTTAGGACCAATTTATGTGCTAAGACCAGGTGCAGAGATGAAAAGAGACAGATCTTCCCCTGGAATTTTAAATCTTGCTTAATTAACACATTCCAAGGCCCACTGCAAAACTAGATGGTTTTGGTTCTCTGGTGTCCTGGAACAAAGAAACCTCTCGGATGTCCTCTTTTATTTTCCTAGATTGTACAATTTAGGCTCTTAAATGATCACTGGCAACACATTTGTGCAGGCTTGTTATTGTGATGCCAGAGAGAAGGTAGAAGTGAAGTAAGAAAGCTTTGATGTATTTTGTACTTAACTTTGTTTAGCATAATGGTTAGCTTTCTTAGAAAAGGACTTTATTCATATCTGGCTTATCTGAACAGTCTGATTTGTTTGGAAGAAACTGAATGACAAAGGGGGAAATTGGGCAGATATGATTTGATTCATAGAATCATAGAGAAGTCAGGCTGGAAGGGACCTCCAGAGGTCATCTAGTCCAGCCCCTGCCTAAGGCAGGATCATTCCTATCCAATTGTGACAGGGCATTGCATCTCCTGCCACTTTAGGTCAGGCAGCCTGCTGAGCCACTGGCAGGTGAGGGTCAGGGCAGATTGCAGAATCAGCTGCCCCAGGGGGCTGGCAGGTGAGGCTAGGCCTGATCAAAGGAGTCACTTGACTGAAGAGTCACCTGGTTGGAGGAGATGACTCTCCTCAATCAAGGCTTAGATGGGGTATAAGCCTAGATCCTGAGAGCAGGGCTGGCAGTAAGGAACATCACCCAGCAGGAGGGCTGCCGCTAGTGAGGAGAATGATATCTGGAGGTTTGGATAGGAACTAAGGGGATGGAGGAGGCTCCTGGGGACCCAGTGTGGGATTCAGAGTCCTGAAAAGGGGTTTGAGTGCATAGGGGCCTGTGGAGAGGCTGGATGAGCCTAGAGAGAGAGGGGCAGAGTGCATGGGGGCTTGTTGAGAGGCCAGAGGAGCCCAGAGAAAGTGGCTGAGTGCCTGTGGCCTGTTGAGGAGGGCTTGACAAACCCAGAGAGGAGCTGTGTGCACAGGGGCTTTGTGAGAGGCCCAAAGGAAGCGGGTATGTAGAAAGACCTATGGAGGGCTCCGAACTTGCAGAGAGAGAGCAACGCATGGAGGGACCCGAGAATGGACCCACAGAGAGGAGAGGGCTGGCAGCTAAAGGACTGACCCTGGGAACTTCAGCTAGCCTATACTGGGGCCAGGGCCCAGGAGTGGCCGAAGGGTGAGAGCGCCCACCAGGAGAGCTGGCTAGAGCTGAGAGCCTGGAGCCTCGACTGGCCCAGAGACAGGGCCAGGGCCTAGGAGAGGCACAAAGGTGCTTGTGGGGACCACAGCTAAGAAGCCATCAGGGAGCGTGTAGCCCAGTATGACGATGGCTTGTAGGGCTCCACGAGTGAGATGGGGCCAGAGATGGAGAGATGGAGCTAGGGCCAGAGAGCCCACTACCTAGCAGCCCAGGAGGGATGCTGGACATCTAGGGGGAGCCCAGAGAGGGGTGAGTATGATCAGGTAGGCCTGAAGCTGGTCCTTGGTAAGACCTAAAACTGCACCATCAAGGCATGGCAGGAAAGATGGGAGGCACCTCAGGGATGGAAGGGGGCACAGCTGTGGAGCCTCCAGGGGAATGTCACAGCCACCCCTGGGACGCGACCCTTTTACAACAATCCATAATCTAAGCTCTACACAAGACTAGTGTCAGCCCTGACACAACATGCCTAACACCCTAACTTGCCAAGGGTAAAGCAGGGGAATCAGGCAGACAAGGTCCTGTTTCTATGAAATGTCCTTACATACTCGGGGGATCCTGTGTAGAGGGCAAACCCCGCCACAGTGGGTGCGCCTACACGTACATATGAATGTGACATAATAAACTCTGGCACTTACCATGCCGGAGTTTATTGTTCCTGGGCACTGTTTATATGTGTGTCTGGGACCGCAGAACGTTAAACTGGGTCAGAGTAGCCCTGGCTGGCAGGGAATCCAAGGTATCAGCCTGACAGCCCGGGGCTTGCTCTGACCCTGCATCACATGCTGTGGAGGGGCTGGCTGGGGCACGAGGGTGTGCCAGTGCAGGGCTAGCTGGCAGGCAGCCCCTGTACTAAAGCACCTTTATGCCCCAGCCAGCCAGGGCAGAGTCTACACATGCACTGCTATGCACAAAATACCTCCACAGCAGAACTGTACTTGTATTTACAAATACTAACTTGCTGCAAAGTTTATTAGTTTCCTGGGGCCTGCAAGGGCTGCACATGCAGACACAGCTCTTTACTGTGGAGCTAATTAGGCAACTCCACAGTAAACCTCTTGTATAGATGTGCCCAGTCTGTATCAATCTGACCGTGGGGATTAACCTAGGGTTACCATATTTCCAGTTGCAAAAAAGACCCGGGGGGAGGGGTGTGTGAAATTCAATTGTCAGGGGGCAGTGATATGCCTGTGCCGTGCATCTTCCCCTCACTCCTAAGCCACAGCCCCCCC